ATAAAAGTATCTCTCCCCATCGGTTCATTGCCCAGGCTTCTCTTGGTCTGTTTGCAGGTTAAGTTGTCCAAAATGATGTTCCCCGAATGTAATTGGTTATTCTGGCTGATGGGACAAACAGAGCAGCTGCCCAGAGGCATCTAACAAGGGGGCGGGGCCACACGATCCGCCGGAAGTGTGCACGTGACAGGGGGCGTGGCCTAATGATCAGCTGCAGGTGGGCTGGTGAACAGGGGGGCGGGGCCAGGAGATCAAGGGGAAGCCCATTTGAAGCCCACAAATGAATTTCTTTTCCAGGTAAAATAAAATCTGCCAGGGGAGGCAGGCGGCGGAAGCCAATGGAAAAATAACGGTACTTGGTCATCTAAGCCCCAGAAGGCGAAGGCGGGGACGGGGGTGGGGGGCTGGGGGGTTTCTCCACACGTGGCCCTCTCTACACTGAGGCAGGACTCCGCCCTGCTTAGCCGCTGGGAGGGACCACGGGACAAAGAGCCGCCGCCCAGAGGCCCTGGTGCAGCCACAGGACCCCTGTCGCTGGGGGTGCAGGAGGGGGTGGGGGAGGGGGAGGCCCATCGGAGCAAATGGCCACAGGGTGAGGGGCCGCTTACCCAGGGGTCGCAGGTGAACGAGACCCAGGCTCTGGGCAGCCCAGGGTTCCATTTTCGTTCCGCCCTTTCACTGCTGTGTGCCCTCCAGGAAGTCACTCGCCCTCTCTGTGCTGCAGTAGCCTCACCTGTTCAATGGGCCACAGCTGCTCCTCACAGGAGTGTGGGGTGATGGTGTGTGCGCCCCACGGGCCCTGAGGGCATTCCGCTTCCTAGTCAGCACCCTGGCCTCACCCCTCCCTCCCCCAGCCTCCAGGGACCGCACAGGCCCCTCTGGACCTCTGGCATGGACTCCGGACGGGCCACTGCTCTCCTGTCTCCTTTCAATCCCAGCTGTCACGGTCCCAGCAGGAAAGAGAGGGCGCGAGCAAACGATTTTCTGGAAGGACTTTGGCAGAGGGAGTGTTGACAGGTGTGGGAGCAGGCGGACAGCCAGCAGGGAGGTGGCTCCCGGAAACAGAGACCCTCCAAGGTCTCAAGGAGGCACAGCCAGCTGATCACAGGCAAGAGGGCACCTGAACAAGGGGGCGGGGCCAAGCGAACAGCCGGAAGTGGACAGGTGATGGAGAGGGTGGGGCCACGTGAAGATTGAAGGGATGCGGCCAGGAACCCCCAGAAGCTGAAGAGGCAGGAAGGACCCTGCCCTGGAGCCCTCCAGGGAGCACAGCCCAGACCCCCGATTTCAGATTCTGGCCCCAGAACGGGGAGAGCACGTGTCCTGTTGGCTGAGGCCAGTCTTCCTCATAGGAGCAGCAGCCTCAGGAAATAGAGCCTCCCTGCCCCTCTGTAGGGCGCGGCTATAGGGTTAGGCCTCAGACTGACCTGTTGCCAAAGCCACAAACAAGTCCCAGCTTAGAGGGCACAGTCCTCTTGGCATAATTAGGCTTGACCTTATGACGCTCCCTAGATCCTTCCTAGGAAGCTAATTAGCTGTGGGAGGTGCAGCAAGTGCTGCCCAAACAAGTGAAACTCACAAGAACATTGTAACGATGGTGACCACCACCTTGTTTACCTCTGGCTATAGAAGAAAGGCGCAGCTTGCTCTGGATCTCCCTCTGTGGCCCACACGGAGCTGGTGGGGACCGAGCCAGGCAGTTTTCTTTCCTTTTCTTTTTTTAAAAAATATATTTTATTGATTTTTCACAGAGAGGAAGGGAGAGAAGTAGAAAGTTAGAAACATCGATGAGAGAGAAACATCGATCAGCTGCCTCCTGCACATCCCCACTGGGGATGTGCCCGCAACCCAGGTACATGCCCTTGCTGGTTTGATTCCGGTCAAGGGCACATGCGGGGGTTGCAGGCTTGGTCCCCGAGGCCGCTGATCAATGATTCTCTCTCGTCATTGATGTTTCTAGCTCTCGTTCGCTCTCTCTGAAATCAATAAAAATATATTTTAAAAAACTTTAAAAAGAATCAATAAACATATTCTCCGGTGAGACTGCAAATAAATAAATAAAAATAAATAAAACCCAGCAGGACTGCCTTGAGAGTGCTCAGGGCGGCGGGGGTGGGGGGTGGGGGGGTGAGGGGCGCACTGAGACCCAGTTTCCCAGCGGGAGGGCGGGGCAGGTGCGGCCCTGGTGCTGGGCAGCCGGAGGGCCGTGTGCACAGGCTCGCGGCCAGGAGGGGCAGCAGAGGTGCCCGTTTGCGAGACCCGGGACAGCTGCAAGGCCAGTGATCACAGGCGGAGGACCTGCGGGGAACATTCCTTAACAAGGGAGCAGACAGAGCCGGACCAGACCGACGCCAGGACACTGATCTGGGACCCAGGTGCGCCCCGCCCTGGGAGAGCGGGGACTTTCCCATCTATGGTTCCGGGGCATTTACAGCGTTTACAGCATTCACAGGAGAAGCGGGAAATGGTGCTCCACCTGATCCCACCCTCCCAGCGGCTCCCCAGCTGCACCAGGCGCTCAGAGGTGCCGGCAAAAAAATGTAATAATAAATTTTCAACTTATTGTTAAAATATAATAAATTCATGATCTTGAAATAGGAAAGGATTTCTTAAGAAAGACACAAAAAGCACTAACGCTTCAAGGGAAATACCACGTCAAATACATGACACTGTCTTTGTTTTCTTTTATATATATATATATATATATATATATATATATATATTTTTTTTTTTTTTTAATATATTTTATTGATTTTTTACAGAGAGGAAGGGAGAGGGCTAGAGAGTTAGAAACATCGATCAGTTGCCTCCTGCACATCTCCCACTGGGGATGTGCCCACAACCCAGGTACATGCCCTTGACCGGAATCGAACCCGGGACCCTTGAGTCCACAGGCCGACGCTCTATCCACTGAGCCAAACCGGTTTCGGAGCTTTTTAATATATTTTTATTGATGGCAGAGAGGAAGGGAGAGGGATAGAGAGAGAATCATTGATCGGCTGGCTGCCTCCTGCACAGCCCCTGCTGGGGATCGATCCCACAGCCCGGGCATGTGCTCTTGACCAGAATCGAACCTTGGACCCTTCAGTCCACAGGCCGACGCTCTATCCACTGAGCCAAACTGTCCACGGAGCACAGGCCGTGGCCACGGGAGGAGGACGTCCGGACGATGGCGGGGCCCTGTGGAGGGTAAAGGCACCCAGGAGCGCACCCACCTCTCCCACGGGGGTTCTGATGGGGCAAGCGTCTGGTTGAGTGCGGGCATTTGGGCTCAGGCATTTTCCCCAGCAGCCCCCTATTTAGGGGAGGGAAGAACCCCATGTTGAGTCCAGATGGAGGTCTGGGGGGTGGGGAGGAGAGGGGACCCTTGGCTGTGGTGGCCCCGCATGGATCTGGAAACCTGAGTGGGGGCCGTTTGATGAAGAAGTGCAGCCCTAATCCCCACAGCCTGCTCCCCACATCCCCATCAGACCCTCTCTGTTTCCTTTTTTAAAAAAATGAAATCCTGCCCTGGCCGGTGGCTCAATGGTTAGAGCGTCGGCCTGTGGACCAAAGGGTCCTGGGTTTGATTCCAGTCAGGGGCACGTACCTCGGCTGCAGGCTCCTCCCCAGCCCCAGCCCCGGTTGGGGCAAGTGCAGGAGCCAACCAATCGATGCGTCTCACTCACATCGATGTTTCTCTCTGTCCTTCCCTCTCTCTTCCTCTCTCTCTGAAAATCGATGGGGAAATACCCTTGGGGGAGGAGGAGGAGGAAGAGAAGGAGAAGACAGACAGGAAGAAAGAAACCTTTTCGCCCGGCTGGTGTGGCTCGTGGTTGAGCGCTGACCCAAGAGGCTGCTGGTTTGATTCCCAGTCAGGGCACAAGTCCAGGTTGCGTGCAGGAGGAAGCTGGAGGTTTCTATCTCTTTCTCCCTCTCCCTTCTTTCTCTCAAAATCAACAAAAACATCTATTTTTAAAAAAACATTTTTTATTGATTTCAGAGAGGAAGAGAGAGGGAGAGAGAGAGAGAGAGAAACAGGGGATCGAGCCTGCAACCCAGGCATGTGCCCTTGACTGGAATCGAACCCGGGACCCTTCAAGTCCGCAGGCCGATGCTCCATCCACTGAGTCAAACCAGCCAGGGCCACTAAAACATATTTTAAAAATAACATGAAATCTTTGGAGGTCTCAGGACAAGTGGAAAATGGCTGTCAGGGGACACCTAGAGACAGCGCTCCCGGCTCCCTGAGCCACGTGGCCAGGCTGGAGGAGACTCCAGGTCAGAAGACACCGCAGACGGGGTTGCGCCCCAGAGCGACATGGTCAGTCTTCTGCGACCCTTGCCCAAGGTTTTGTACACACGGGGACAGAACCACGCATGTCAGACTGTGGTCCTAGGACCCTGGAGATGGACAGCTGTCACCCGTGCATCACTCTTGATGTCCGCCCGGGCTGCGAAGACTGTTCACAAGCATGTGGCCTCTGCTTGTATCTGGAGTTCTCCACCTTGAGCGTCAGAATCACCTGGACGCTTCCTTAGAGCAGATAGTGGGGGCAGCCCAGGGTTCAGATTCTGTGGCTTCCGGGTGGGGCGACATTGCTGCTCAGAGGTGCGCTGGGGACAACCTTTGTCCTGTGAAAACTTAGGTGCAAAGTAAGACACAGAGAGTCAGTGCATCCAGAATCAGACTAATTACTGGCTCAGGCGTGTTCCCCAGCAAGGCCACAACCCAAGGGTCCTGGGTTCATCAGGAAGGGCCGCTAGAAGGACCTTGAGAACAGCAATGCCGTCACTCCACCCGGAGAACAGGACCATAAAGTTTTATGAGACACTCGTCCTCTCACACCCTCCAACCAGCCAATTACCCCTGAAACACCAGGAAGCAGTCACTTCAGAGGAAGCAGGAGACATTGAGGGCCTGAGCAGTCCCAGCAGCTGCAGCCACAATGCTCAGGTCTCTGCCTCAGGACACGTCCACCTCCTTCACCTGGGACCCCACAAACTCCCCAAAGCCGGAGATGTTCAGGGAGCAACATGAGGTGACCAACCTGGGGTATCCCCAGAACCCAGGGCCCGTGAGGTCCACCGTGGTCCAGGTCCAGGCTGACACCGTGGTGCCCGACCACATCGTCTGGTCCCTGTTCAACACCCTCTTCTTCAACTACTGCTGCCTGGGCTTCGTGGCCTTCGCCTACTCCGTGAAGGTGGGTGCGCGGGGGGCTTCCCCGGAAAGCGTGTGCGCCCCCACAGGGGTGCTGCCCAGACGGCCTTGGGATCGGGGAGCCCTCGTGAGCGCTTTCTGTGCGGATGTGCTGGGGGTCAGGCGGCGGCTCACCCAGTGAGCGTCCGCGTGGGGCTGCGTGGAGGGGCCTGCGGACGGGCGCCACCTGTCTCCACCCCCTGGAGCTCTCCTTTCTGTCCCAACCACAGGGCTCCGTCCTCCACACCTGCCCCTCAGGCCTCAAGTCTGGTCCATTGCTGTTCTCTCCTGAGGCCCTGGAGAGGCGGAGAGGCTGTGAGGGAGGCCCCCCTGGCCTGTCCTGCTCAGGCTCCAGGGAACAGGGAGGGGGTCGCTGACCTGGCTGAGGGCAGGTGGAGGCTGGTGTGGGCAGGGAACAGCTAGGGCCGGGCCTGACTCACAGCACCCGGCTGTCCCCGGGGCCCGTCCAGACCCCTCACCATCCCTTCTCCCCCAGTCTAGGGACCGGAAGATGGTGGGAGACGTGATTGGGGCCCAGAGCCATGCGTCCACCGCCAAGTGCCTGAATATCGTAGCCCTGGTCTTGGGCGTCCTTCTGACCATCGGACTCATTGTTCTCCTGGCCTTTATGTTCCCGCCATACTTTCATGCAGTGCAGCAGGGCATGCGGAATGGTAGAGGCTTCTAGTCGCCGCCATGGCAGGTGGCCGATCCTCCCCACCCCCTGCTGGCCCTCCTGGGCGCCCACCCCTTCCCCCTGCACCTGTTGTGCACACACCTGTCTGCAGCTGAGCTCAATAAAGTGCACCTGTGTGTGACAATGCTGGCCTTTCCTGGGCAGGGGCACTGCCCGCCCCACCTGCCCCTGTACAGCCCCCCTTGCTGCTCTGAGGGGTCCTGGCACTTTCTCAGATGGTCCTGGTTGCTGGCCTTCAGCTGGGAGCAGCGGCTGCACCAGGGGCCTAGGAGGGGGGTCCCTCCTTCCCAGTGTCTGACCCTGACCCAAGGGGCACTGGGCCAGCTCACCCTTGGCCCTGAGGAAAGCCTGGCTGACTCTGAGCAGCTGGGAGCAGCGGTGCTGGGTGAGGGTCGCCGGCGGATCCTCTGGAGGCCACGGAGTCTGCACGTGGGGTGCAGGGTGCAGCCCAGGCCCCAGCCCCTCCTGGGCGGCCCTCCAGCCCCCCAGCTCCGTCCTGGCTCCTCTGCAGGGGGCAGGGTTAGGGGCAGCCAGTGGCCCAGGAGGGACAGAGGGCTCAGCCCCAATGGACAGAAACCCTGAGAGGAAGGACCGATCCTCCCACTGATACCGAATGTTTGGACTGGAACCCGGATCCATTGTCCGCTGGAACCGAAGAATGAATCCGCGGACATTCATTCGATCGAGTGGTCGAGCAAAGGTGAAGATTTATTGACAGACGCCCACGTAAGGAGGGGTAAGGGCCCCACAGAGTGAACTCCCAAGTAGGCAGGGGGAACGGGTCCCACGGAGTCCCTTTTCCCTGTGGTTTATGAAGGCTGCAGTTCCTCTGCCCCCATCTCCCCTCTGACCGTCCACATGCCCCTGGAACTGGTTATGGTAGTGACTCCTGAGGCCCTCCTCCCTCAGAGTCCCTCCTTTCCTCTGGGCTGTCTTCGTTTCCACCTGAATGAAGGGCTTTCTTCCTTCTCTTTATTTTGTAAATACGGACCTTTCCTGGTCCTTCCAGTGTCCTTGTCCCATGCAAATGCCCCTGTTGCTGCTCCCTTGTCCTGTGGAGATGTCACTGCACCCGCTTCCTGGGGTTATGGGAGTGTGCCTTGTCCCAGTCTGCAGCCCCGCGCTTTTCCGTGGACCCCAATTCTAAGAAATTCCTAATCCTGCCTATGTTCCCCCCAAATGCCTTCTTCACCCACCAAACCGTCTGGGCCTGCTGGCTGGAGCTGCCGGTGCCAGGAAGGGCCCACTAGCCGATGGGCGCCCTGGGGCTCTGGGCCTGAGCCTTTGCCAGGGCCCGGGATGCACACGGGGTGGAGCCGTCCTCACCGGGACCCCCATGCCCTGCACAGGCGCCTGGAGAGGCTGGAGAAGGCCCGGGGGCTGGTGTCCGGGAGGTGAGCGGCCTCCAGGAGCCTTGCCCTGGGGGCGAGGTGGGTCCTGCTGGCGCTGCTCTGTGGGCAGCAGCTGTCCCGCCGCCAGAGGGAGGGACAACCCCCACCCACAGCCCCGGTGACAGCCCCGCAGCACCTGATCCTGGGCCCCGCGCGGTGCTTTGTCTGTGGGGGTGGGGATGCCTCGCGGGAGGGTGCCCTCGGCCCGGGAAGGGTGGGCGGTCCCGCGTCGGAGCCGGAGGGGCTGAGGCCCAGGGAAGATGTGTTGTCCGGGGTTTGACCGCAGAACGGCCGCTCGGACCGGACATGGAGAACCAGGCGCCCCTCCCCCCACAGTGGGCGTGGCTTGGAGGGTGGGTGCGGAGGGGACCTGGGCAGGGCTTAGCGGATGGGGGCGGGGCCTAGCGGATGGGGCGGGGCCTAGCGGGAGGGGCGCAGCCGGACGCGGTGGAGGGACCAGTTGCGCCCTCTCTGCGGGGCGTCAGGTCTAGGCTGCCCGGACCCTCCGCGGGCGGAGCAGCGAGTGTTTCCCGGGCCCCGAGGCGGGGCCGTCCTCCCGGGGCCTGACCCCTTCCTGCTTCGAGTGGGACCCCTGGGGACCGGGGCGTCCCGGGGAGACCCTGTGACTCTCCGACCCGCAGGCCGCCCCTGGCATTAGGGCGCTGCTATTGGGCAGAGAAGGGGGCGCAGGTGAGGGGTGGGAGGGCCCATGGCTGGTGTGCGGCTGGTGTCCGGTGCCTGGGGAGCAAGGGGCAGGCTTGGCCGGCCCCCCTCCCCCGCCGCCCCGCTGGTTGCAGCAGGGTCCGCCTCAGGCACCCTGAGCGCCCACAGGTCTGGAATTCTTGACCAACCAGGTGCGGCTCACTTCCGGTCAGGGGTCACCTGGGCTCTCTCCACCGGTGGCCTGTCCCCTGCGGCCTCTGGAGCCGATGGGGACCTTGGGGGCCACTGTTCCCCAAATGAACTCCTCCTGCGTCAGGGCTCAGCCCTCTGGGAAGGAGGGACCCCCCCACAGCCGTTTCCATGCGTTGCCCCCAGCTTGGGGCCAGGTGCCGGTCAGGTCCAAGGACACCACCACTCTCCCCCACCACCACCCAGGGCAGCAGGCAGGGGCAGGTGGTGGGCTCCGTCTCAGGGGCTCTCACAGGACCCTCCCCAGGTGGAAACACAGCATCGTCACCAACACCTGCTTTATTGAGCGCCATCGTAGACACGGGTGTAGACACAGCTGGGAACACGCGACAGTCTCCGCTGGGGGCAAGTACCAGTGGCCTCGCTAACGCTTTCTGACGTCACATTTACAGGGACTTGTGAGAAGCAGGTATAATGATGAAACGAATGAAGAAAATGACCAACACAACAAGGCTAACGGTCAGCGCCCAGATGTTCAGGCACTTGGCGGTGGACGCATGGCTCTGGGCCCCAGTCATGTCTCCCATCATCTTCCGGTCCCTAGACTGGGGGAGAAGAGATGGTGAGGGGTGTGGACGGGCCCTGGGGACAGCTGGGTGCTGTGACTCAGGCCGGGCTCTGGCTGCTTCCTGCCCAGACCAGCCTCCACCTGCCCTCAGCCAGGTCAGCGACCCCGTCCCTGTGCCCTGGAGCCTGAGCAGGACAGGCCAGGGGGGCCTCCCTCCCAGCCTCTCAGCCTCTCCAGGGCCTCAGGGCTCCTCTCCCCCTGCCCTGGCCATTTGCTGGCCTCTCCCCCTCCAGGGGCCAGGGTTTCCGAGTTCCCTTGTTCTCCCTTCAGAGCCTTGAGGCCAGGCCGTGTGGTGAGTCTGAGAGATGTAGTTCCTGGTGTTGTCAGTAGAGAACAAAGGCTGACACTGCGTCCCGCAGCCTCAGCGTGACCTGTACACACACACACACACACACACACACACACACACACACACACACACACACACACACACACACCGGCTCCTCAATCCCAAGGGTCATCTGGGCAGCACACTTGTGTGGGCGCCCACACGCCTTCCATGTAGCCGCCCCCCGCCGCCCCCCCTCCGCGCACCCACCTTCACGGAGTAGGCCAAGGCCACGAAGCCCAGGCAGCATACGTTGAAGTAGAGGGTGTTGAACAGGGACCAGACGATGTGGTCGGGCACCACGGGCTCATCCTGGACGTGGACCACGGTGGACATCATGGGCCCTGAGTTCTGGGGAGCCCCCAGCACAGACACCTCGTATTCCTCCTTGATCATCTCCGGTTTGGGGAGCAGGTGGGTCCGAGGTGAAGAAGGTGGACGCGTCCTGAAGCAGAGGCCTGAGCCCTGTGGCTGCAGCTGCTGGGGCTGCGCAGGCCCCGCCTTCCCAGCGGGAGTCTGATTTCTCAGAAGTGCCCTGGGGTTTCCTGGGGTTTTCAACATGGGTGACTTGGCTGGTTCCTAGGAGGGTGGAAGAAACCCATGCTGTCAGGTGACATAGGGCAGATCGGGAGGAAATCCTGAGGTTTACTGTCATCTACGTGCGAGTTTCCTGGTTTCCTGTCTGCGTCACTCAGGCCAGGTCTGGTCTCCTCTAGGCCTCGGTGGGCTCTGGCGGCTTTTCCCCGCCGGCAGCCACCCATCCCCCCAGCCCAGGCCCAAGCCCGTGCGGGCTCACCCCCATGCAGGGCCCTGCCTGTGGCCCCGTGGACCCCACACTCCTGCCCCAGAGTGAGGCCGCCCCACAGCCCACCCTCGGCTGGCTCAGGCCTCTTCTCGGAAGGCCACGCTGCTGCAGGGGGGGTGCCTCCTGGTTGGGCCTGGACCCAGCAGCCCCTGTTGCCTGTCTCAGGGGGCCCTGCAGGCCCTCTCGGGGGGCCGGGGGGGGGGGGCGTGAACAAGGACATGGGCGCTGGATGCCGGAGGAGGCGGCTGGGGTGGGAGAGGGAGGATGCTGGGCATTTGGCAGCAGCCTCCAGGCGCAGGTCGCAGACTGTGCGAGCCCCGCCCTCCTCCCTCCCTCCGGTCCCCCATCATTCTGCAGAGTGTTGTCGCTTGGTTAGCTGGGAGGTTGACTCCGGTCTTCAGGCCCGGCCCCTTCTCGGGGAGAGGTCGGGGCACGGAGGAGCCGGGATGCAGCTCTGTGTAGACTAAAGGGTCGCCATCCGTAGGCCTCACCTGCGTGGGGGCGGGTGTGGGTGCCCACGGCCCGAACCTGGCCTGGCCCTCGGGACCCATGGCCTCCCCCTGGCAGCCCAGCGGGTCAAGGCTGCAGACCAGCTTCCCGGTGCCCCATGGTTCCCCGAGGCCCAGAGGTCTGGCCTCATGCTGGGCCTCTCAGCTTCCACGCTCTGGTCCTGTGAGTGCCTCCCCTGGGCCCCGCAGGTGCCTGCGGCGGCCGTGTCCACGGGAAATGGTCCCGGTGAAAGAGCTGGTGTGGCCTGTGCTCCCTGGACCCACTGACCCAGCGGTGGCCCGCCTGGCGGAGCCGCGTGCACTGGGCAATCCGGGGCGTGGAGGGGGAGCCCCGCCTGGCGCCTGGTCTGGAGAGAGGGCAGGGGCTTGGGACGCACCTGCTCAAGGTCCTGATGGGCTGCACAGGCCAGTGCGGGGGGTGGGGGTGGGGCAGCCCGCCCACCTGGGCTGTTTCCCTGGGGAGCCGCCCCGGGCTGATGAGGGGTGTGGGGGTGCAGAGGTGACAGTGACGGGCGGTGACCAGTGGCCGGGACCTGCTCCCGGGATAACCTTACTTTCCATTCGTCAAATGACGGCAGGCCGCCTCCCACCACGTCTGTGAGCGTCAGCCTGATTTCTTCAAATACTGTTTCTGCCCCTCGACGCCCGGGCACCGTCGTTCACCGTCAACACGCTGGGTGCGGCCCCGGCCCCACGCTGAGCTCGCTTCGCCTCGCCGCGTTTTTCCTTCTGTGCCTCGTGCCGGGCCTCACTGGCCGGGCTCAGGGCCACGGGCTCGCTCTCTCTCTCTCTCTCTCTCTCTCTCTCTCTCTCTCTCTCTCTCTCGCTGCCGGGCCCGGTGGACGTGCTCATGGTTGTGGTATTTCCCCCACAACCTGTCCGCGCTGTGCGGATGGCTCTCTCTGTGTTGACACTTTCCTTTGGGGCGCTGCTCTCCCCCGCTTTTCTCTGGTTTGTTTGATGCGGTTTTCTCCGCTTCTCTGACCGCATCCGGGAGGAGATTTCACCGTTTTCTAGTGGATGCCTGTGTGGGCTTCCTCAGACACGACTCCTGCTGACTCCGCCCCCCGCGGGTGGCCCGTGGCTTCCCGTCCACTGTCAGAGCCCCTGGGGGAGGACTGGGCTTTGAAAACCATAAAACGCGGCTGTTGGAACGGAGGCCCCCCCCCGCCCCCCCCGCCCCCCGGGCACCGCTGCTGCCGCTCGCAGTGCCACCTCTTAGGTAATGGCTTTGTCCTGTGTGACTGTGTCGAAATCTGTGGTGAACAAATGTTTGGACACAGATTACTTACATGACTGAAACCGGTAAGCCCCACTCTTTGGGGGGGTGTGGGGGGTGTGGGGGGTGTCAGGGAACATGTCGGGGCGCACCCGCAACACGAAGGCGGCCGCTGAGAAACCTGAGCCTCCCGCTCCCGGAGCGGGGAGCACGGGCCCGGCCCCGACTTTCCTGAGCCCGAGCACATCCCCACACGTGTGTCCGGCTTCAGGGGGAATTCACACGACATACAATCAGCTGCTCGGAAGTGCACATTTCAGCGGCGCTTACTGGACTCACATGTTCTCCAGCGTCAACTTTTCTTCACCCCAGAAAAGCATCCAGAGCCCATTAGGTAACCACCCCCCACTTCCCAGTCCCCCGTCTCGGGGCGCCACCCAGCTCTGTCTCGATGGCATTGCCTGTGCCGGTGGAGCCTGTGAAGGAGTCGTATCCTGTGTGACCTCGAGTCTGTCTTCATTTTCTTTGCCAAGTGCTTTTGCGGGCCATCCGAGTAGGAGCACGTGTCAGGACATGGCTCCTTGTCCGGCTGCCTTTGTCTGGTCTCTCCCCCATTGCTAGGCACCTGGGCTGTTGCCACTCTGAGGCCAGAACGCTGCCATGACGACAGTGCGTGCGTCGGCCCGGACGTGCCTTCGCGGCCATGCCTTCACGGCTCCGTCCTCGCCTGGGGTTAGACCTGCTGGGTCGCGTGGTCGCTCTGTTTGAAGCCGGGGCAGCTGCCCCATTTCACGTCCTGCCAGCCCTGCGGGAGGGGTCGGCCCCCCTGTGTCCGCACCACACGGCTCTTTCCTGGTATTTTGGCAACACCCATCCTCATGGGTGTGACGGTGGCTCATGGTGGTTTGATTTGCATTTGTAATCATAATGGTGACTCTCTTATCAGATGCTGGTTGGCCATTTGTATGTCTTCCTTTCTTAAAAAGAAAAAGTATTTTTAAAAATTGATTTCAGAGAGAGGAAAGGAAAGGGAGAGAGAGGGAAACATTGATGAGACAGAAGCGTCGATCGGCTGCCTCCCGCAGCCCCCACTGGGGATGGAGCCGGCAATCTTCTTGGAGAAATGTGACTCAAGTCCTTTGTCCTTAAAAATTGTCATAGTTTTTGTTTTTTTCTTTTTGTTAATCCTTCCCCGAGGATATTTCCCCTCATTGGTTTTTAGAGAGTGGAAAGGAGGGAGGGAGAGAGAGAGGCATCGATGTGAGAGGGCAACATGGACCTCTGCCTCCTGCAGGCAGCACCCACCCCCCCGCCTGTGCATGGGGTGACACCCAGCAGCTGAGCCCCGCGGCGGCCGGGGTGCAGTGTATATTCATAACTGCGCGCCCCCCTTCAAGTAGCACCAGCTTCACAGGTCCTGCAGGAAACAGCAGATGCCCCCGGCCCCTCCCTCCCGTCCCTCGGCCTTGGGCCACGGTAACCACGCAGTCCCGCTGCTTTCCTGTAACCTCACAGTCAGTCCTGCTCCCCATTCAGTTCAAAGAAAGAAGTAGAGTAGTTTTACCTCCATGTATTCCTTCTCGGATGCACTGCTTTGTTGATGGGGGTCAGAGTGTCTAGCCTATGAGTTTTCTCTCTGTCTGATAGACTTCTTCTTTTAAAAAAATATACATTTTTATTGATTTCAGAGTGGAGGGGAGAGGGAGAGAGAGAGCAACATCAATGAAGAGAATCATTGAGTGGCTGCCTCCTGCACGCCCGCTACTGGGAATCGAGCCCACAACCCCGGGCATGTGCGCTGGACCGGAATCAAACCGGGGGCCCTTCAGTCCGCAGACGGATGCTCTGTCCACTGAGCCAAACCGGCCAGGGCTCTAAGACTCTGACCGGGCAAGGCTGCGGACAAACCCCCTGGTCTCGTCTGAGAAAATCCCTTCTCCTGGACTTTCGCGGGACACGTGCAGTGGGTGGAGAGTTCCAGGCAGGCGGGCTGTCCTGTCTGCTCAGCACTGTCAGGGGTTCTCCTTGCCTCTCGCTCCGTTGTCTCAGAGGTGGCCTTCGATGCGACCCTTACCTTTCATTTTCTAGAGGTGGGGTCTGTGGGCTTTTGGCTGTGGTTTTTCAATGTTTTTGCATTTTGAATAGGATATGCGTTGGTGTTTTTTCTTTCTTCTCCCCCCGCCCCACCCCCCGCCCATCCTGGAATAGCCCATCACTAAGGCTTTCCCCCTTAACGTCTGCACTGCCCAGCATTAATATAAGTGCAAAAGCAAACGTTTGCTTAATGTTTCATGGAGTATATTTTTCATTTTATGAAATTCAAACGTTTCCAGCCCTTGCTCAAAGTTTGTATCTGTTAGGTCGGAGGGAGCCCAGGATCGGACACATGCAGACGTGTGACGAGATAATGGACTCCCCCGGCATTTCTAACAGACCAGTGTGCCAGACACAGACACCGGGGAGTTACTATAGTAACCAGTCCAAGGGAATAGTGACCAATCAGAGGAGATATCAGGGCACCAGGATCTGCAGCCTTTATAAGCCACAGGGAAAAGGAACTCAGTGGAACCCTTTCCCCCTCCCCATGTGGGAGTCCATTCTGTGGGACTCTTTCCTCTCCCCACGTGGAAGTCTGTACTTGTTCTTCAATAAATTTCCACCTTTGCCCTGACCGGTTTGGCTCAGTGGATAGAGCATCAGCCTGCGGACTGAAGGGTCCCGTGTTCGATTCCAGTCAAGGGCACATGCCTGGGTTGCAGGCTCGATCCCCAGTAAGGTGGCGTGCAGGAGGCAGCCGATCAATGATTCTCTCTCATCATTGATGTTTCTCTCTCTCTTTCCCTCTCCCTTCCTCTCTGAAATCAATAAAGATATACTAAAATCCTATCTAATAAAAGAGAAACATGGTAATTAGCGTACGACCGCTACCCTTCTCATTGGCTAATCAGGGCAATATGCAAATTAACTGCCAGCCAAGATGGCGGCCGGCAGCCAGGCAGTGGAAGCGAACATGAGGCTTGCTTGCTTCAGTGACGAAGGATTCCAACATTCCCGCCTGCCGCTGCTGGCCTCTGAGCTGCAACTCTAAGCAACTATGTTACAAATATAGAAGCTAAACAAAACCCCAGAAACCTGCTTTCAGCGAGCCCGGGATCTCAGAGCTGGAGTTATACATTGTTTTGATTATAGAACCTAAACAAACCAGATACCTGCTTTCAGCAGCGGAGGCCTCAGAGCTGGAGCCAGAGCTAAAGCTGGCCCAGAATAAAAAAAAAAAGAAAAAAAGGAGCAGTTGGGAGCTTCAGTCCCAGCCTGAAAACAGCCCTTAGCCCCTCACCCAGACTGGCCAGGCACCCCAGTGGGGACCCCCACCCTGAAGGGTGTGTGACTAGCTGCAAACAGCCATCATCCCCTCATCCAGGCTGGCCAGGCACCCCAGTGGGGACCCCCACCCTGAAGGGTGTGTGACCAGCTGCAAACAGCCATCATCCCCTCACCCAGGCTGGCCAGGCACCCCAGCGGGGACCCCCACCCTGATCCAGGACACCCTTCAGGGCAAACCAGCCAGTCCCACCCATGCACCAGGCCTCTATCCTATATAGTAAAAGGGTAATATGCCTCCCAGCACCGGGATCAGCGGAGCCACAAGGCCTCTGAGCACCGGGATCAGCGGAGCCGAGAGGCCTCCCGGCACTGGGATCAGCGTGACAGGGGGCAGTGCCCAAACCCCCTGATCGCCCTGTGGCTCTGTGTGTGACAGGGGGCGGGGCCACAACCTCCTTATCCGCCCTGCTCTGTTGGTGACAAGGGAAGGCGCCCCAACCCCCTGATCAGCCCTGCTCTGTGCCTGATAGGGGGGAGCTCCCCAACCCCCTGATCGCCCTGCGGCTCTGTGTGTGACAGGGTGCGGCGCCCCAATGCCCCTGCCCCCCACGGGCCCTGCTCTGTGTGTGACGGGGTAGAGCCATAATCTCCCCATCGGCCCTGCCCTGAGTGTGACAGGGGGCGGTGCCCCAACCCCCCAATCGGCCCTACCCTGAGCGTGACTGAGGGTGGCATTGCATCCTCCTGATCTGCCCTGCTCTGTGCATGACAGGGGGCGGTGCCCCAACTCCCCAATCAGCCCTGCTCTGAGCCCGACCAGGGGCTGCACCTAGGGATTGGGCCTGCCCTCTGCCACCCGGGAGCAGGCCTAAGCCAGCAGGTCGTTATCTCCCGAGGGGTCCCAGACTGCGAGAGGGCACAGGCCGGGCTGAGGGACCCCCCCCTCCCCGCTGAGTGCACAAATTTTTGTGCACCGGGCCTCTAGTAATAATAATAAAACGCAACGCCGTACCATTGACCATAGTCACAAGCTGCGCCTGATGACCCTGTGACAGTTGTTTTACGGCTGAAAGTTTGTACCTTTGGTTCCCCTTCACCCACTTATCCTACCACCTCTCCCGGCAGCACCAGTCTGCACACGTGGGCACAGGGCCGGCACCAGCAGCAGCACGGGCTGAAGCCAGCCCCGAGGGGCTCGTGCTGTGCCCGGGGCAGGATCTCGGTCCCTGAGGGCAGAAACCAGGGCAGCATGTGACTTCCTCCACCTCGAGGCCCGGAGGCACCTGGACCTCGTTTGGAGAAGGTGGCCCCCAGAGACGGGCCAGCGACAGGCCGACAGGACCGTCGGCTCCCGTTGCTTCCCGGCCTTCCTGCCCAGGAGAGCACTTAGTCGACGTTTCTCAGGGTGTGGACGGGGCCGCGGATCGCTAAGTGTGGGTCCTCCCCTTCCCTCCGGCCGCGATAGGAAGCCGGGCCCAGCCCACACGACGCCTGGGGCGCGGATCGCGGACCCTGTGGCCGCAGCAGGACCTGCGTGGGGCGAAGCTCTCGGCCGATGTCCGTGTCCACGTAGGAAACATTCAAACCTGTAGAGGACGTCTGTGAGTTTATTTGAGCCGAACTGCTGACAATTGGCGGGAAGCAGAATGCCAGGACTGGGGTGAGGACTGGGGTGATGCTCTGGAGAAAGAAGGGTCTGCGCCTGTTTACAAACTCCGTTGAGAGGAGAGGTAGGTGGGCTCCGGAACCCCACTGAGATGGGTCAGGCAGGCGGGAGAAAGCACAGCGGGAGACACATTGTGCACAAAGGCGGGTACGGGCAGCACACGCCCACAGGGAACGCGGTAACAACCGGATTTAAGGTCTGCCCTGGGCGTGGCTGTGCCCTGTGCGGCCTGGGAAAGGGGGCGTTACCCTGACACCCCGAAGGAATATCACCCTGGATGCAAAAGACAGACAGGCCCCGTGAAGTCAGTGTTCTCAATCTTCTGGCCCTTTCAATACAGCTCCTCATGTGGGGACCCCCAACCATAAAATTATGTTCGTTGCTACTTCATCACTGTCATGGTGCTGCTGTGATGAATCGTCATGTAAATACCTGACATGCAGGATGGTCTCAGGCGACCCCTGTGAAAGGGTCGTTCGACCGCCAAAGGGGTCGCGACCCACAGGTTGACAACCGCTGGTGAAGGTAAAGACTCTCTTTTGTCTGGGAGGATTCTAGCCTAGGATTTGACTACCTGCCTTAAGGTGCTTTTAGTTAGAAAGTCTTAATTTCAGACTAACCTTTGTGGTTACTTTAGGCCTCTGAGTTTGCAGGCCTCCGCGCCCCCCCATCCCTTTCCCCGCCCCCCAGGCCTCCCCGGAGCTTGTAGGACCAGGGATCGAACCTGGGACCCAGGTACATGCCCTTGACAGTGGGAATCAAACCCACAACCCTTCAGTGCATGGACCAACACTAACCACAGAGTCACACCGGCCAGCGCTTAGCTGTTGGTTTTTGAAAACTGGAGGCTCCACGTGGGCCCGCCCTTGTCCCCCATGAGGCTTCAGCTTGCACCCTGTGGTGGTGGTGGGGGGGCGTCTCTCAATGAGCAGGAGAGCGAGGGCCAGTGGGGACATGGCCTTGGGGTCTGGAGAAAATGCCGGGCAGGGGATCCCAAATACACTGGCCCCCATGATCAGATGGGCACCTTCAGACTCGGGGGTAGTGAGAGGAAGGCTCAACCAAGGAAAAAGAAGTGGATCAGCACAGAGCTTCCTCCCTGGCTGGAGTGTGGGGTCTGGGTGATGACAGGTGGGGCCCTGCCTGGGGGGGAGTGGGGTGGGGAAACGTCCCCAGGGCCCAGCACAGCCTCCCTGAGAGGCCAAGACAAGTCCTGACTTGAGTGCCAGGGTGGGCAGCCCTCCCCCGCGGACCACAGCCTACCTCCCAGGGCTCTAGCATAACGTAATCTCCTAGGAACAAGTCAAATCACCAATTTACAAAACACCCGGAAACGGACACGTCTGAGAAATCAGTTACCCCAGGGAGGGAGGGCGGGGCCTGCACTGTCCCAGCAGCTGCAGCCACAGTGCTCAGGTCTCTGCCTCGGGAAGCATCCACCTCCTTCACCTGGGACCCACCTGCTCCCCAAACCAGAGATGATCAAGGAGCAACACGAGGTGTCTGTGCTGGGGGCTCCCCAGAGCCCAAGGCCCGTGATGTCCACCGTGGTCCACGTCCAGGCTGACACCGTGGTGCCCGACCACATCGTCTGGTCCCTGTTCAACACCCTCTTCTTCAACTACTGCTGCCTGGGCTTCGTGGCCTTCGCCTTCTCCGTGAAGGTGGGTGCGCGGGGGGCTTCCCCAGAAAGCGTGTGCGCCCCCACAGGGGTGCTGCCCAGACGGCCTTGGGATCGGGGAGCCCTCGTGAGCGCTTTCTGTGCGGATGTGCTGGGGGTCAGGCGGCGGCTCACCCAGTGAGTGTCCGCGTGGGGCTGCGTGGAGGGGCCTGCGGACGGGCGCCACCTGTCTCCACCCCCTGGAGCTCTCCTTTCTGTCCCAACCACAGGGCTCCGTCCTCCACACCTGCCCCTCAGGCCTCAAGTCTGGTCCAGAAAAAGGCAAAGTCCTCAGAGATGCTGAGCCCTGGAAGGGGGGCAGGGAGGCCAGCAAATGGCCAGGGCAGGGGGAGAGGAGCCCTGAGCCCCTGGAGAGGCTGAGGGGCTGGGAGGGTGGCCCCCCTGGCCTGTCCTGCTCAGGCTCCAGGGAACCGGGAGGGGGTCCCTGACCTGGCTGAGGGCAGGTGGAGGCTGGTCTGGGCAGGGAGCAGCCAGAGCCCGGCCTGAGTCACAGCACCCGGGTGTCCTCGGGGCCCGTCCAGACCCCTCACCATCCCTTCTCCCCCAGTCTAGGGACCGGAAGATGGTGGGAGACGTGATTGGGGCCCAGGACCATGGGTCCACCGCCAAGAGCCTGAACATCGCCGCCCTGGTCTTGGGCATCGTTATGACCATCGGACTCATTGTTCTTGTGGTTTTGTACCCAGGACTCATCTATGTAAGGATAGGGGTCTAGCAGAACGGCAGAGGCTTCTAGTCGTCGCCATGGCAGGTGGCCGAGTCCTCCCACCCCCTGCTGGCCCTCCCGGGCGCCCACCCCTTCCCTCTGCACCTGTTGTGCACACACCTGTCTGCAGCTGAGCTCAATAAAGTGCACCTGTGTGTGACAATGCTGGCCTTTCCTGGGCAGGGGCACTGCCCGCCCCGCCTGCCCCTGTAGAGCCCCCCTTGCTGCTCTGAGGGGTCCTGGCACTTTCTCAGATGGTCCTGGTTGCTGGCCTCCAGCTGGGAGCAGCGGCTGCACCAGGGGCCTAGCAGGGGGGTCCCTCCTTCCCAGTGTCTGACCCTGACCCAAGGGGCACTGGGCCAGCTCACCCTTGGCCCTGAGGAAAGCCTGGCTGACTCTGAGCAGCTGGGAGCAGCGGTGCTGGGTGAGGGCGGCCGGCGGATCCTCTGGAGGCCTCGGTGTCTGCACGTGGGGTGCAGGGTGCAGCCCAGGCCCCAGCCCCTCCTGGGCGGCCCTCCAGCCCCCCAGCTCCGTCCTGGCTCCTCTGCAGGGGGCAGGGTTAGGGGCAGCCAGTGGCCTGGGAGGGACAGAGGGCTCAGCCCCAATGGACAGAAACCCTGAGAGGAAGGACCGATCCTCCCACTGATACCGAATGTTTGGACTGGAACCCGGATCCATTGTCCGCTGGAACCGAAGAATGAATCCGCGGACAGAAAGTGGTCGAGCAAAGGTGAAGATTTATTGACAGACGCCCACGTAAGGAGGGGTAAGGGCCCCACAGAGTGAACTCCCAAGTAGGCAGGGGGAACGGGTCCCACGGAGTCCCTTTTCCCTGTGGTTTATGAAGGCTGCAGTTCCTCTGCCCCCATCTCCCCTCTGACCGTCCACATGCCCCTGGAACTGGTTATGGTAGTGACTCCTGAGGCCCTCCTCCCTCAGAGTCCCTCCTTTCCTCTGGGCTGTCTTTTCCACCTGAATGAAGGGCTTTCTTCCTTCTCTTTATTTTGTAAATACGGACCTTTCCTGGTCCTTCCAGTGTCCTTGGCCCATGCAAATGCCCCTGTTGCTGCTCCCTTGTCCTGTGGAGATGTCACTGCACCCGCTTCCTGGGGTTATGGGAGTGTGCCTTCTCCCAGTCTGCAGCCCCGCGCTTTTCCGTGGACCCCAATTCTAAGAAATTCCTAATCCTGCCTATGTTCCCCCCAAATGCCTTCTTCACCCACCAAACCGTCTGGGCCTGCTGGCTGGAGCTGCCGGTGCCAGGAAGGGCCCCCAGCCGATGGGCGCCCTGGGGCTCTGGGCCTGAGCCTTTGCCTGGGCCCGGGATGCACGTGGGGTGGAGCCGTCCCCACCGGGACCCCCATGCCCTGCACAGGCGCCTGGAGAGGCTGGAGAAGGCCCGGGGGCTGGTGTCCAGGAGGTCAGCCGCCTCCAGGAGCCTTGCCCTGGCGGCGAGGTGGGTCCTGCTGGCGCTGCTCTGTGGGCAGCAGCTGTCCCGCCGCCAGAGGGAGGGACAACCCCCACCCACAGCCCCCGTGACAGCCCCGCAGCACCTGATCCTGGGCCCCGTGCGGTGCTTTGTCTGTGGGGCTGGGGATGCCTCGCGGGAGGGTGCCCCCGGCCGGGGAGGGTGGGGGTCCCGCGTCAGAGCCCGAGGGGCTGAGGCCCAGGGAAGGAGGTCCTGCAGGGGGAGGCTGTGGGAACTGTGCCCCAAGGCTGGGCACTGAAGGAAGGTGACGGGCAGAGCCTGCACTCAGTTCGGGGAGGAGGTTTGTGGCTCCTGCACCCCCCTCCCCCCAGTCCTGAGGGCCTGCCTGGTGCTGGCTCCTGCCCCACCAGGGCCGGAGGAGGCTTTGATGGCTGGCTGCACCCACAGCGCCCCACCCCCACCCCACCCCCACCCCCGCAGCACCCCCCACCCCCGCAGCACCCTCACCCCCGCAGCACCCTCACCCCCGCAGCACCCCCACCCCGCAGCACCCCACCCCCGCAGCACCCCCACCCCCGCAGCACCCCATTCCCCGCAGCACCCCCACTCCCGCAGCACCCCCTCCCCCGCAGCATCCCCACCCCGCAGCACCCCCACCCCCGCAGCACCCCCACCCCCGCAGCACCCCCACCCCCGCAGCACCCCATCCCCCGCAGCACCCCCACTCCCGCAGCACCTCCCCCCCCGCAGCACCCCCACCCCCCGCAGCACCCCCTCTCCCCGCAGCACCCCCACCCCGCAGCACCCCCTCCCCGCAGCAACCCCACCCCCGCAGCACCCCCTCCCCGCAGCACCCCCTCCCCCGCAGCACCTTCACCCCCGCACACCCTCCAACCCGCAGCACCCCCTCTCCCGCAGCACCCCCTCCCCAGCAGCACCCCCACCCCCACAGCAGGCTCCGCGGGTTATCAGCGCACAGGCCCGCAGGGGGGTCCTTGGAGCGCGGTGCCCACTGCGACCCCCGCCCTCACGCCCGGGCCGTCGCGGGGAGGGGCTCTCCAGGCCAGGCGGGCCGGCGGCGGGGGCGGCGGCGGGGGGCGGGCGCCGGGCCGTCATTTGTCGGTATATTTAGCGGCGGCGCCGGGCTTGGCCCCGCGGGTATAAGCGGCCCCGCGCGCCCCTCGGAGCGGCGCGGAGCGAGGCGACGGCGCTGGAACCCATGGACACCGCGTACCCCCGCGAGGATCCCCGCGCCCCGACGCCCCGCAAGGCCGACGGCGCCCACACGGCGGTGGCGCTGGGGGCGCCGGGACCCCCGCCGCGAGACCACCTGATCTGGTCGCTGTTCAGCTCCCTCTACCTGAACCTGTGCTGCCTGGGCTTCCTGGCGCTGGCCTACTCCGTCAAGGTGCGCGGCTCCCCGGGGGCGGCTCCACTAACGGGGTGTCTCCACTGGGGGGGCGGCTCCACTAAGGGGGTGTGTTTGCTTCTAGAAGATGAAGGGGTGTCCTTAAGGGGCGTCTGCCCACGGCCAAGCGTGCAGAAGCAATGAGGGCTTTTCAGATGCTGGGGTTCCCATGAGCAAACCCCCCGCGGACTCCCCACCCGAGGGCCCTTGGGGGATCATGCTGGCCTGGGAGGAGGCAGCGGTGCCTTCCAGCCCCTCCCTAGACTGGGGACCCCCCCCCCCCCCGCCCCAGGGACAGAACCCTGAGTCCAGGTTGGGGCGGCTAAGGGAGTGGGGGCAGCCCCTGGCAGGGTCCCTCAGCCACAGGCCGCCACCCAGGTTCTGGGTCGGCAGGGCCCTCGGGGCGGGGACCAGGCTGCTGGGTGGGGGACACACTGCGACCTGGCCCTGCCCTCCGCAGGCCCGGGACCAGAAGGTGGCGGGGGACCTGGCGGAGGCCCGGCGTCTGGCCTCCAAGGCCAAGTGCTACAACATCCTGGCCACCATGTGGGCCCTGGTGCCGCCCCTGCTGCTGCTGGCCCTGGTGGTGACCGGGGCCCTGCACCTGTCCCGGCTGGCGAAGGACTCGGCCGCCTTCTTCAGCACCAAGTTCGACGACTCGGACTACGACTGACAGGCTGGCCCTGTCCCTGCCCTGCCCGGGGGCTGGACGCTGGCCTCCCGGAACCCGACCGTGTATAGGGCTGAGGCCCCCCCCAGCTCCAGGCGGGGCTCCGAATGCCGACCCTGAAGATCCCCCTTGTGGACCCCAAGGCCTCACCCCACCCTTGATGGTCCCTGGTCCCCTAACTCCCTGCCCCCGCCAGACCTCCCTCCCCCTCACTGGGCTCACCATTAAACGTGCCTGGATCCACAAGGGGCCCCCCGGCTGGTTCCTGGCTGGGTGGGGTCGGGGAGGGTGTCGGACACCCACCGCCAGACGCCCTGGGTGGACCCCAACACTGACGGGGGCTCGCCCTGCTCGGAATGTCCTGCCCTGGGCTGTGGTCTCCCACCGTCCCCGGGGGCCCCGGGCGGCCTGTGGCTGCTGGGCGGAGGTGCCGGCGCATTTAGAATCCCGTTTGGGAACCCGGGCTTTCATCTCGACTGCCCACGGGGCGCTGTGGTTTCGTGGCCTGTCTTCCGGGGCATGAGTGGTGTGTCTCCCGGACTCCACGTGTGCCCACCCGTCTGCGTGCGTGCGTGCGTCTGCGTGCAAGGCGGGTGGGAGTCCCTGGCCAGGGAGAGCCCTCCTGCGCGTTCCTGTCTGTGGGTCGGGTGTGTGCCAATCTCCTTCTTTGGGTCACTGGGTCGGTCCCTTTAACTCTGAGAAATCTCAGCCCTGCAGCGCGTCCGTACGGCTGGACACGGGACGCAGGCGCACACAGGCATGGCCACGTGCCCTCCACGCAGTCTCGCTCATGCAGATGGGACGCCCACACCACACAGCGGGCGACATTGTGCAGAGGGGGACACAGGGGGTGAGGACACTTTCTCAGCACCCTTGGTGCCAGACCCATGCCCTGTAATTCCCCTCCTGGTGCGCCCCGAGCCGCGGCTGGCAGAGGGGGGTTGCTAGACACATGCACACACCCTGTGTGGCTGGGTGAGGTCCCGGGACCTTGCTGTGGCTGGGCCAATGACAGGGCAGGCTAATTGCAGGGCCTTAAGCACAGGGTGGCTGGGGTTTGGATCACCCCACCCAGGGTCCCTTCCGTCCCCAGGGAGCCCCCTTGGCCTGTCCACTCTGCCTGGGCTGGGGGAGGGGGGGAGGCCTGTTTAGCCGCTGTACTTGGAGTTCCCAACGTACTGCCTGCCCACACCCTCCCTCCCCACGACACCCAACAGCTGGGCCAGCCATCCCCCATGTGCCCGCAGCGCCCCAGCCCCAAGCTGAGAAGCGTGCTGCCCTGAGCCAGCCCCTGAGGCTGAGGTGCGCTGGCCAGGGCCTGGGGGTGGAGAAGCCAGCTGGCCCCACGTGGGACCAAGGCCGAGGGCAGTGTGCCGGCGCTTGGGCCAGGATGGAGACCACCCTGAGCTCCAGGTTTGGCCCAAGAAGAGACCAACCCTTGCTGGGTAGAGGCTGGGAGCAGGGGTCAGCCTGTGTGGCCCCAGCACGGGATGGTCTGAGGGCTGTGATGGGCGTGAAGGTTGCCCGTCCGTGCCCAGGTGCTGAGGACAGAGGTGCAGTCAAGCCCGGTGGGGAGGAGGTCGCCGGCACCCGGGCTGTGTCCTGGGCAGGCTGAAGGCCCCTGCCTAAGTCAGGCCGCTGGCTACCAGGGGCCCGAGCCCAGCATGCATGCCCTGCCGCCCACCGCCCCTCAGAGGGCCGCCTGCTGTAGGCACAGGTGGCCGTGCGCAGGTGGCCTGCAGGTGCAGCCGCATCGGGCTCCAGCAGCCTGGTGCCCCCGGTGCCTGTGCCCACCCCTGGCTCCAGGGCTGCTGCCCCGGGACAGTCCCCAAGGCTTTGCGACCTGCTGGGCGTCTGCGGGGAGGGAGAGCCTGTGGGTGCTGGAGAGCCACCAAGGACCCGGGGAGCTGGTCCTGACACGGGTGCTGGTTATAACTTGGCCACCTCCCTCTGAGGCCAGTACGACCCAGTGCTGCCCCCACAGCCACAGGGTCAGGCCTGGGCCCCCCGGGCCCCCACCCGCCTTGCATCCCCTTCTGTCCGTCCGTCCGTCCGTCACAGTTTGTCTGCCGGGTGTCTGCTTCTCGGAGAACTTGGACTACCTCCGTCCAGAACACACTTGGCCAGAGGGGGGAGGGGCGCCGCCAACGGGACCCACTCACTCGCTCTAACGGAGCCAGTTACCGGCGGGAACTCGATCCACCGGGCGCCCTGGCTCCAGAGGAGCCTCAGCTCCACGGCCGGGCCTGCCGGCGGCTCCCCCAGCCCGACTTTAACTCCCGTTAACTCCCGGCAGCGCACAGGCAGGGCCCTCGCCGAGTTTCCCGCGGACGCCGCCTCACCTCATTGGCAAACCCCAGGGGACCCGGTGTGATGTGCCAGCTGCGAGGCTGTGGCCCCCGCAGAACCCTGTGCCCTGGGCTCGGTCCTTCCTGCCGGTCAGAGAGACGATACGGGGTCTTGCCCTGCACCCCGCTTGGCTGAGGAAAGGCATGGGGGCGGGGGCTGTCCAGCCGGACTGAAGCGGCCCCGAGCCCGGGCGCCAGGGACGGAGCACGCTGAGTTCCGGGACAGCCCGGAGCACCAGGTCCGGCCATGACGGGGCCTCGGTGACATGGAGGGCTCTGGCTGGCGAAGCTTCGGCTGAGCCGGAGTAATTCCAATTCCGCAGGCGAGCCCGCCCCTCCCCGCTGCCCTCCATGCCAGGCCCGCCCGCCCCGGCCTCCTAGCAGAGCCGCCTGCCTGACCCACAGCTCCCTGGGCAAGTGACTCGGGCACGGCAGGTGCAGGGGCAGCCCGGGGGCAGGAGCAGGCATGCCGGTGAGGGAGGCAATGGGTACGGGTTAGGCAGGGAAGGGGTCAGGCGAGAGGCAGCCTTGAACTTCAGGCCAAAGAAGCCAGACCTTTCCTGGAGCCCGTGAGCCTGGCTGCCAGGTGGAGGGGGGTGGAGGCAGATGGCAGGCCAGGAGGGCTCCAGGAGGAGCGGTGCAGCCAGCCGCCGGCGGAGTGCCCGAGGCAGGACCCGAGACCAGGACGGCACCAGGTGAGGGGCTCCGGGGCTGGGGGCCCACAGGTGTCCAGGGGGTGCCGTGGGCTCCGTGTCTCCAACAGTTTCTCCCAGGGCATTCTGGGAGCAGAACTTGCCTCGGCTCCTACAAGGGTGACCTTTGTATCCGGCCAGCAGAGCGGGGAAAGGAGACCTTGTGTCCTGCAGGGACAGGGGGCCACCCTGAGGGTGAGGGCACACGCCGGGCCAGCCGGGGGGCCCCTGGGTGGGTCTCGGGGCAGCAGCCTACCTGGGCGCAGGGGGAGCCGGGTTTGCGACGGCCACAGCTCGACCTCCAGCGGGGGCGCCCCGGGCCCTGCCGGGGGCCTGACCTCCACCGTCAGCGAGCCCTCGGAGAAGGAGAAGTCAAGCTTGCTCCCCTGGTAGGAGACGCCAGAGACACACACGCCAGAGACCCCCGCCGGACACATGGGGTCAAAGGTCAGGCCGGCCGGGGTGATCCTGCGGGAGGGGAGGCTCTGTGAAGAGGGCAGGCAGGGCGGCGACCTCCTCCTGCCGGTCACCCCACTCACCGGAACCCTGTGAACCCGAAGAGCGCCGCCTGCAGGAAGCCCCCCATGCCCGTCAGGAAGTTCACGGCGCCGGACCCGTCGGCGTTCTCCGTCCACACCTGCAGGGCCGGGCAGTCAGAGCCGGGAAGCAGGACACAGGCCCCCCCAGGCCGCTGTCCCTGCTCCCGGGAGGTCGGGTGGGGTGGGCATCGCCAGCACGGTGACCCCAGAAGCTGGGCTCCCACTCCCACCACCCGGGCCGCGCAGGGGGGTGTGGCCGGGGATGGGGGGCGGGGCCCAGGCTGGCCTTGAAGGGCTCGGTGATGTTGGCGAAGCTCCTGTCCAGCAGGTCCCGTGCCCGCCTGGCGTCCTTCAGCTCCATCCAGCCCACGGCAAACATGCTCTGGGGGCAGAGGGCAGAGGGCACGCTGGGGTGAGGTCCACGGCATGGGAGGGGGGCAGACCGGGGGGCAGGGCTGGGGCTGCCGTGGGAGCCACCCCCTCTTACCCACGTCATGGCCGGGCCCTGGGGCGACGTCACAGCCTCGTACATTTCCAGGTTTTTCCTGCGAACTTGAGGGCTCAGGGAGAAGGGGACGGGGTACCCCAGGAGCACAACGTCTGCCTGCTTCACCTCCTCTCCTGGGGGGGGACAGGGGCTGCTGCGGGGGGGAGGCGGACCGGACCCTCTGTCGGGAAGGGCAGCGGGAGGGAGAAGGGGCCTCGAAGGGGCCCCGAGTCCACTCACCAGGCTCGTATCCATCAAACTCGGGGTGGAAGTTGTGCTTCGGGTCAAAGGGCACCTTGATCTTATCGGCCACGGCCAGCCACCGGCTGGGGACGGGCCGGCCCAGGTCCCGGGCCAGGGCAGCGGCGAAGCGCAGGCTAGGGCAGAGGCGGGGCTGAGCTTGGGCGCTCTGGGCCGGCCCCCGCACGGCTGGGCTGGGTGGGGTGGGGTCTTGGGTCTGACCTGTTCTGGGCCAGCACGTTGGTGTACACGGAGTTGTTGACCCCGGAATGGTATTCGTCGGGGGGCATGACTCCTGGGCACAGAGGCACGAAGGTGCTTAGTGCAGGGGCTTAGACCTGCCCCGGTGCACTGGCCAGGGTGGGGTGGCAACATCAGGTTAACCCTGACCTGACCCTGACCTTGAACTGAAGAGCATCCACCAGCTCATGATCATCCACCCTCCCCCATGACCACCCACCCTCCCCCATGACCATCCACCCTCCCCCATGACCACCCACCCTCCCCATGACCACCCACCCTCCCCCATGACCACCCTCCCCCATGACCACCCTCCCCCAGGACCACCCTCCCCATGACCACCCACCCTCCCCCATGACCACCCTCCCCCATGACCATCCACCCACTCCCATGACCACCCTCCCCATGACCACATTCCCCCATGACCACCCTCCCCCATGACCACCCTCCCCCCGCCATGCCCTCACCCTTCAGGTGGAACTCCTC